GGAGGCAAACAAAATGATATGTTTGTCGCTGTGTATAAGCTTCAAAGTTGCATTATTTTGTCCTAAAAAAAAGGAATGTCGACGACTCAAGTTTCTGCAACAAAAAGATGGATATGCATTTGTGGGTCATGCCTTAAAAAGCCATTGTTTGGGCGTCGGAATACAAATATATAGTCACTGTAGAAATCGGTGTACTATGGAGGACAGATGTAAATCGATCAATATGGCACCAGAAGGAAGCGATAAATTTTTATGTCAGCTGAGTGAGTCAGACCATGCAAAACACCCACAGGATTTAGTTGAAACTAATGGCAGGACTTATGTATAGGGGGACTGAGGTAAGAAAAAGGATTTTCATGTTTTTATTCAGTTGTTGACAGATGACTCGTGTGCCCTTGTGGAAATTTTCGCTCTTCCCCGAGTTTTTTAGTTGATCGATTTGGGCGATTGTCCAAGCGTAAAATGAAAGAGTTTGGAGAGATTAATCCTAGCAATGGAATGACCTTCCATTCGACTTAGCAGTGCAATAGCTCCCAAGGGATGTTTTAGGAGTTCATTAGAACACTTGAAAAATATGTTGCAAAGAACCTTAAGCAACTCATAATAATTGACATGTTTTACTGTGAAAATTGATATCCCAAGAGCGATAAAAAATAGAAGCTGTTTTGATTGGATTTTTTACCAGAACAAGTGCTGCTTCAACATGTGCCATAACAATGGAACTGGCTTGGTTGGATTCACAAACAAGGGGTTCAAGTGTGTATGTCCACCTGGTTACACGGGGTAACATTGTGATCAACGTTCAGGGGGAGGTGGAGAGATTTCACTCCAGTTAAAAAATTTAGGAGGCCCTTTATTGGAACCATGGGAATGTGTGGAGAGAAAGGTAACGGGATTCTACAGGGGGGAGCGTGTGCCCAAACCTGTTACAACGGCACCGCTTGTAGATTCTGTGGAAGAGGTGGAGGAAGAAGATACTCTAGGGGAGGCAATAGCAAAAAGAATCCTTATTCCTGTGGGGGTGAGAGTGGATGTTCAATGCTGGAAACAATCAACCGAGTGCATTTTGCAACAATTCGATTGGTCGGGATCAGGTGACTATAACATAACAGTAGAGCGAACCGAACATATGTCACCTGACCAAGAGAAAATGAGGAGACATAGAAGGAGATTCTCGGAGCGTCAGACATTATAATGCTTTAACTCAAAACTGTAAGATATCGAGGTTGACTAGACAGACCTCCGGAAAACAGATTGCCGCCTGGGAGTTTGTCACGGTTTTGTTTATTATTTTTTTAGTCGATTTTGCCAAGTTTAAATACGGGACAAATCTTGTCGGCGGTACGTTTGAGAAATTTACACTTCGAGCAAAATTTATCAAGTTGCGACAGACCATCCCTACTTGTAAAGTGTTGGTGATGAAAGATAATTTGATTAAATAAACATTTTTTTCGGAAGTGCGGATAGGCCCTACATCAAAGTTTTGTTCATAAGTACACCTATACATTACACCTAAGTGCAACCCGTATTTGGTAGAAATATTTGAGATCTACAGAATTTACAGAAATATGTCGTCGGGAATTACGAACTCTTCGGCGTTTCAATACATAACATTACATAATATTACATAATATTGCATAATATTGCATAATACTGCATAATACTACCTACGAGAGGATTGAGGTATCCTGTTGTGACAGGTCATTTAAGGTCATTGCCACATCGAAGGTAAAGCTAGAAACTTAGTGAAAAGCTATTAATGGTGATAATTGTAATAAAAAGAAAATGTCCCCTAGCATATAGAAGGCAGTGGGGTCGAGTTGTCAGCGTGTCGGACTCGCAGTCCGCCGCTCCCGGGTTCGAGTCGCGCTCTGACCACTACCTGGATTTGTTTCACGGTAGCTCCGAGCTCAAATCCTCGCCCATACTTGTAAATAGTCAACTGGTTTGCCTTCGGCCAGTTAGGATTCTTAATAATGTTATGTTCAATTTGAATTATTTGTTTCATAGCCCACAATGTCAACTACTGGGTTACCAGTAATTGTGTTAGCTATTAAAGTTTATTTTTTTTATATAGTTACTTACCAATTGATAGAGTAATAAAGTATGAGCTGCATCGTCGCGAGTAGCTCAAAATAGGATGCAACAAAAGTAAAGATATTGTGGGTAAGTATGAGCAAGATTTCGTCTAATTTGGATATGGATCACTTTCGAATTCTCCCACTGTTTTGGCTTGAATTTCTAAGAGATATTTTAGTGGCTATTTCTCAGGTTTTTAATTACAAAGGAAATCAAACTCGAAAAACTTCTGAATAATCAATAGTGAACGAAATGAATAAGTAAATAGATATCTGGAAATAACGGAAGCGAGATATATTTCAACGTGCTCTAGAATGTCAAGCGATTTGAAAACAATTAGCTGCAATGAGACGTAGCTGATATCTCTAGTGGGTGGCACAATCCAGTAGGCTTTTTCTTGTGTTAGTGTCCTTGTCTCTCTGTGGCGAACGTAGCATTCAATGGCGAACAGCAATGCTCCAACATGACTGCATGTTTCACCAATGCCAGACATGCAATTACGGTGTGCTGATTCAATAGTACCAGAATCAAGTGCAATGAACAAGGACGTGAGAGAGGTATAGAGGTATTTCTTACACGCTGTGAATGCATAACCTACAATAAACAACTAAATGTCAGAAAAAAAAGGGAAAAAGAAAGCTTAAACAGTCAAAACTAACGTATAAGCTATTTGTTAAAGTTTTAGCAACTTAAACTGTGAAAAGAAAACATGAAATCTGTTGTATCTTAGGAAATTCAAGGACGAAATTATAAACAGACCCGCAATGAACATGAACATTCCAAGATCTTTTTTATTCCTGTTCTTTTTCTGCGCAGGCGCATCCATGTATACGTAACACAACCATGACGTAACTTAATATAATGTAACACAAGTATAACAAAACAAGGTCACGATATAACAAAATCAGTACTAGATGGTCAATGCAGTGCATGAGAGATAGTCGAGTGAACATTGAAAAATTACTAAACTTACCCTTCCAGATATAACTGTCAGCTTCTTATCCTGAAAATTTTTCACTTTTATCTCCTTTATCCACCCGGAGACGAACTACTTGTAGGCTTCAAGGCTTTTATGCGCCTTGAATTGCTCCAAAGTATACCTACTTACGTTTACAACTAGATAGTTCACGAGGTCCACGTAAGTTATTGGTAGAAAATCGCTAACATTTGACGACCATTCCTTATTTGCGATCTCAAACGGATCAATGTTGTCTATACAAGCTATTTTTTGAAAATATTTCTCTTCATCGAGCGGATTGAGCGTTGAAAAGTAAGTTTTTTTCGCAGACATGATCAGAATCGCTTGTCAACATTGGAAGACCTGACCTTCAATATGGCGGCCAACATGGTTGCTACGGGATACGTGACGTCAGCGGGAAACCTCTATTATTCGGTTTTGCCAATGAAGTGGTCTTTGTTATTCCCGATAGTTGTGTCTCGACTTAAATAACAACATCTTTCATCGTTGATACCATCGAGGGTTCTTGGAACACAACAGCTTAGTTACCAACCCTGTGAGGTTGTCGAGGTTACTATGACACATGTCACCTGAGAAATGTAAATATGCTTTCCTCCGCGCAAGAAAAATTTCCTCGTTCGATAACGCTTCAGCCGTTTCCCTGTATTAAGCTACTGTTTCCCTGACTTTCATTCGACTCATATAAACAATGTTACAAGACATTTTCTAGACGTTCAGCTCCTTCCTGTGGGGATAAAATAGTGCCACTCCTGTTAGAATGCTACCTGCGCCCTCTTGCCGAAAAAGCCTTCCTTTCTTTGCAAAGGAAAAGGGACTTGCAAACAAACTTATTAATTAGTTTTATATTCTCGAATTTTCTCTATTGCATCACGGAAAGCCAAAAACTCGTTTAATTAATGATAAAACCGCCTGAAAGTTCTGGCGAGCTTTGTAATAATCATCACGCTTTGTAATAACGCATGTCGCACAACAAACGTCAAAAAAAAATTTCTAGACGTTCAGCTCCTCCCTGTGGTAGTAAAGCCTTCCTCTTTTTTCCCAGAAAAAGGGATTGGGATACAAACGTATAAAATAGTTTTATGTTCTCCAATTTTCTCTATTGCGTCACCACAAGCCAAGGAATCGTTTATCGATAAAACCACCCGAAAGCTCTGTCGCATTTTATAATTAAAAAAGCTGTTGCATTTGATGGTTAACCTCGTTCAAATGCAAACCGAGTGATCTAACTAAACCGGAGAAAATGTCTTTTGACTTGGGGAATTCTGTGGTAGAATTTTATGCATACATTTATGAACGTTTTACCGAATCGGTCCACCCGGCGAAGTTAATGATATATCGATTTCAACGAATAGCTTCATCTTTTCGATGGGAAGATGGTAATTATTTTCATTCGTGCAGATGAACAGATGGAACACTCGCATTAACTTCCGAAGGGCAGGATGCTTTTTGCGGGTCTTAATTGTGTGATGGCTTATGCGACTAACCGTTGAAATTTGGCCGTTTTTCGGCATACGTTTAACGGATTTCTTTTCGTCTCGTTAAAATGAAAAATCTTTAGGTTGAACATTTTTATTCGACTTATGGCTAAAACAAGTCAATTTTTTACGGCTGACGGCTAATTTTTGTTCGCTATTTCACAGCCAACGGTTAATCCTACGGAGACCCTACTAATTCATTAGGCAAATATTATTTCAATCGAGGTTCATGAGCTCGTTTTTAAAAGAAATATTAATAAAAGCCTATTTGATTGACTCACCATAATCTGCAGTGCTATTACAAGCTTTTTCATATTGTGTTTATTCTAGTCGTCATTACTTAAAACAGCACTCTGCACCTGGTGAAAACAGTCTCATTGGTCCGTTTATGACGGAAAATACAGTTTAAATACATTCACGTCAGAAAAAAAGTGATGGAGTGTTGTTATGTCCATTAACTTGTACTTCCTGCAAATGTGTTTGAAATTCGCTGAAATATTTGCCACATAAGGGTTGCGAACCAAGTTACGAACTGTCGGTAACTTACGCTAGTTCTAAACCTAAGAAATTGGGTGATGGATGAGAATTACTCTGGTAAAATGCTCACAGCCTTGCCTATATGTTGTGTTCTGAGTAAGTACAACCTTTGCTACATATCTTGGTTAGGCTTTAGGCAGGTAGCGACTCATTAGGTAAAGATATATCTCGGTATTAGAATATCCCAGAGCTCGGCCTCAGCCGATTTGAACAAGAAATGCAATAGCTAAGAGGGTCCCTTTTAGCTTACTGATAACAAATTAACTTGAGAAACGTCTGCTAAGTTTTTTCATGAAACATAAACGAATTGGTAAGTGAATAAATAAATAAAACTTTTAGAGAAGTGTGTCACGTTTTTGTTTTTAGAGTGGCACTGTAGTTTCGATACGATGTAAAATTCGTTGTAAATTGGTAAACCATAGTGACGCAATTTTTGGGTTTAAATTGCTATTCATGATTGTTTTGTGTTGACAGTCTGTGTAATAGCTTTGCGCAGCAATATTATGGATCAAGGAAAAATAGAATGAATAATAACATCAGTAATGATTAAAAAAAAAAGAAAAACATTACCCACGGTAAACAGAAAGCAAGTTTTCTTCATAAAATCGATTGGTGGAGTATTTGCAATTGTTCTCTAAACAAACACCACCTCCTAGCGAAAAAAGAAAAAGAATTATATCCAACCCATAAAGGGAACATATATGTAGTGTTTTCAATGATTTCCATAGAGTTTCAATAACTGCCGCACAGACTGGTAAAGCTGGTAATCTTTAAATCCGTAATTCGTACAAAATTTACATTACCACATTAAATGTAATATTACTATCACGATGGTTAATGTATATCTTGATATTCTCCCCTGTAGCTCTTGTGATAGTGAGCTCGGAAGTAGGAGGTAAGACTGCGAAACTTCAAAGGTAGCTTGTTTGTAGCATCCCCCCCCCCCCKCCCAGAAAAAATAGACTTATTAGAAAACAAGACGAAGAAGCAAAGGAACAAACAAATCGAACACCCGACAAATGGCTTAATGTGGCGAGTGGAAGAAGGCTTCCAAAATTGATGCGAAAGTCCGATATAGCTGGGTTGGCAAACAAAGCAACAAAGATCATACGAAGACAGCCATCAGTCAGATCCCCAAACTACCCCTTTTAAGGTAAAACAACTAGAAAAAGCAAAACAAAAACAAAACAAGGCAAAAACAAAACAACGGGAATGACAAAACGAGAACGAACGTTTTAGGTTCTATATTATTTGCAGAAGCCATTTCTTTCTTTTTGAAAGGGGCAGTGCATCATCCTACCAAAAATAGAGCCTACAAATAGAAGTTTTGTTACATTTGTTTGGTTATATCTCACTGATTTTGATATATAATTGAAATATGTGGAAAAGGTGTGTCCTTGTTTTATTCTCTATTTTTTCTCAGAATGCCAAAAAAACTGTTCTGGAGATTCCTACTACGTGTTTACGAAAAAGAAAAATACGTGGAATCAGTCCAGAACATTATGTCATAAACAGGGAGGCGACCTAGTTTCCATTGAAACCGAAGAAGAGTGGGATTTCATCAAAAGCGTAATTGAGTATTACAATAAGCCAAATGCGACGACTTGGTGGCAGGTTGGTTTAGAAAAAAAGGCCGGGAGCTGGACCTGGCTGGCTGGAATACCTCTTACCATTTGCAAATGGGGAAAAAAACAGCCAAATGGAAAAGGAGATGTAGCTGCAATAAGATCGAAATCAAAGGACAAGGCCATTCTTACTGACGTTCCAAGGAATAGGTCTAGACCTTCTATTTGTGAAATTACCAAAGGTAAGACAATAAACGGAAACTATGGAGTTATTTACTGCTAGGATCAAGTTTCTGCTTCGGACATGAATTGGCTTTGAGTAGCTATGGGTGAGTTACTATCTGCGATACGTATATTTCAGTAATGCAAAAAGTAGCTGCCGTTAACTCTAACTATATCATTGCTTTATTGCAAAATATTGCTGCTAAGGGATCAATTTGTTCTTTTCCTACGTTTAATATTTAACTTCTAGATCTTTTGTGTATCATTTACAACATTTTGCGCGTTTTTCAGGTAGTGGACACAATTATTCGCAAAGCTGCTGCAAGCACGTCGTAAAACCTTGCAAACTGGAAGATGGCAACAAGAGCTGGGTGCATAATTTTACATTTTCCGCCTATAATTTCAAAATGAACTGCACTGTTGGTACTTGTGAGTCCTCTTCCGGCGAACTTTTTACGAGAAAAAAGGGTGTTAAGACTTTCAATCTACTGGTACAACAATGTGCTGACGAGTCACACGTGGCCGTGGGTAGTACCTATCACCAGACTTGCAACGCTACAATGTGTAACATAACAGAGCGCGAACAGAAATGTACCACCAAACACACTTGCTATTGTGAAGGTGATCATTGTAATCAGAATTGCAGTCGCATAAGGTGTACGCAAGCTTGCAGAGGAATAAAAACCGGTTAGTAGAAAAACAAAGCTAATAATGTTGTTTATCACTGACATGTTCAAAGTGTTAACTAAATTAGCAATTTGAAATAAAATTCAGAACGATTTGTTTTTGTCAAATCGTTTTATTGTCATTGTTTATACTTGCGCTGGTGTAAAACGGAGTGGTGTTTCCTTTAGGAGCGAAAAGTTCTAACGAAAGGGGTGCCTTTGAGAACTTAGAAGACTATTTTAATTTCAGTCTTGTCTCAGTTTTCGGTGTTCACTATTTTAGACTGGAGCACAATTTGAGCATGCAACCGTGTATTAAAAAGAGTAAGTTTACGGAAAAAAAATCAACCTATCATTCACTTATTTAATAAAGCAAGCAGACAGGTAGGCGGTATGATTGTTGACTTTCCTAATATACGAGGGATCATCTGTAAAACGCATGGAATCAAATGCAAAAAAAATAATTTGCTACAAGAAATCATACTTTAGTCCCTCTTGATGGCACTTTCTAAATTCAACATTTTCAGGAAAGGTATCATCATGCTCGCTGTCGCCGTCACCATCACTGTCACAAAAGCCTAACACGCCGTCGCCGTCGCCGTCGCCGTTGCAGTCTCCGTCGCCATCTTCGTCGTCACAGATACCACCAACAGCGGCATCATCACCTTCATTGCCGTCAATTCGAAAGTTGGTGCGTGTTTTAATAAATTGTAGTCCTTGCACTTCTCCTTTTTTTCGATTTTCAATGGCGCTCCATAAACATGATTGCCAATTTATTTATCCTAGGCAAATGATTCGCTTTCCAAACTTTACAGAATAGACATCACCAAAAATACTTCTTTGCAGGTATCTGAGTTTGATATTGACTTATTTATCATTATGCAAAATGCATGTGACATAATTGGTGACATGCAGGACAATGACGAGTAAATGATTAGTTGCAATCAAAGTTTCAAAGGGGAAGGTTAATGATGTTACGAAATATTACATGAAATCAAGACATGAAAATAACTGGATACTTGATCCTAAGGGCACACTTCTACGAAAAGGAATGGAAGGTAAATTATGCAAGGTTAATTTCATCCTACTCCATTATCTTTAGATGGTGCACGCTCTGAATACTAGTGGATATCAGTTGCGTTGTCATGGGTATTTACTAGGTTTTTAAATTTGTTTAAAATTTTTCTAATGCTCAAATGAGACCGCATGATGTACTTTGATATCTAGAGGTTAAAATACAGGAAAACGAAATAATAGTGGAGATATAGGGCATTTTATTTAACGGTTTTTATATTATACGAGCAGACATTTCGTTCATTGTTCGTGTCTTACTTCTACTATAATACTACGCTGGACGCACTGGTAGGCTTGTGCAAAGCTAGCGTAAACAGATAAACCTCCATAAAGTTTTTAACTGTCGAATTTAGCTATCACTCGCCAGCTAGGCACAGAGCACTTGGATCATTAATTTGATTGAAGCTTGTTACAACTGCTTTGCATCTTCTCAAATGAATTTTAATGTAATTACAGAAGGCTATGGGGATCTTTGAAGACTTCATTACCGGTATCGAAAACGTCACAAAACTTGTTGACGGCCGCTTTGATATGGAAGAAGTAGGAGGAAGGAGAGAATCCATCTTTAAAGTGGCAGTCATCTTCGAAGAAATTGCCTTAAATTATAGCAAATATCACCTGGACAGAACAAAGCATTCAAAAAAATTCGATAGCGAGAAAATGGGTGAGTCGGAACACAGATACCTATCAAGATTTATGATTATCAATTTCATATTTTTAAGATAACTGCTATATTTTGACGAGCCTGTAACGTGAGTCAAAATACGAACAACGAGTAAAAATACTCAGTGATCATACACAACAAAACGTTTAATAAGAGATTTATTATCCAACACGCCAAATGTATTTCAGTAATTTTCTATCGCGTATTTATTAACTTTGTTCTTTGGTTATTCAACTAGTTATTTTAGTGCGATATCTATGTAGCCTTAGCTGTAAAAAAAAAAAAAAAAAAACTGAAAAACCCTCGTAGGGAGTTGCAATAAAGTATGTATGTATGTATCTATTGTTATTTCAGTGCATGCGAGTTTCGCGGATATCTATTTAAGGGGAGTGCGAGACAGTAGTATGCGAAGCAGAACGGAATTGGCGCTGATTCTATTTTCCTCAGTATATGGTGGAATTTCATCGTCGTCTGGCTGCTTTTCTTCCTTCCATTTATCTAAAAAACTTGGATCAATATTCGCCAGCCATTCCGATTCATCGTCGTGAGAACAAGGATTTGAATTGTCCGCCATGTTTATTCCTAACTTCAATCCAATTCGTCGCTTGCGCGATCTGAGAAAACCTGTCTAACCGGTTCTCTGGAGTAGAATACCACGAAATGTTTGTACTCGTCTAAAGCGTTATTTGTACTCTACGAGGTACAGTTGGATGATCGTGGTTATATTGAATGCTAGGGTCAACATAACTCTAGCTAGGGTGTTCTTTTCTGATCGAATGAACTATCACCTACACGAGCTAATAAATATGGCAACTGCTAATTGAGAAAAATCACTGTCGGATCAAATCGAACCAACAAATTCCTTTATTGGTAATTTGCTTTTTCTGTAATAACGGGAGAGAGAAATTGGGATATTTGCAAAAATAAATCAAATGAAAAAAGGGTTGACTAAAGGTAAGAAAATATAACGAAAGGAAATGACCAATTTCTATTGTTTACAACATGCATTGTTTTTTGTTTAGAGAATGGATTCGTCGAATGAAAGATGCTGCGAAGAAAAGCGTGTACATAATCTTCGAGCAATAATACCAAAATGCAGTGAAAGCCTTCCCCGAAACCTACTTGCTCATAAATGGTTCATTTCAACTTTATCCCGGGTTCATTAATTTTGTTTCATGTCATTCGTTGTTCTTTTCTGTCAGTTCTGAGTATCAAAAAGGCCTACCGCCGAAACGCAAGCAGATTCCATTTAGGGAAGGAAGAATGGCAAGCAAGCATGAATGTTTCTTCTGAAAATTTTGTGGATTATGGTTTGTATCGACAGCCTTTTAAAATTTTAGATGTACAATGACCTTCTGATCTCTCGCTGTGTTCGTGTTGTAATGATATTTCCATTATAAATAATAAATCACACAATCAGCGTGCTTTGATTTTCGCAGTTTTTGTTATTTTTTCTCTCCTTTAAGGACAAGTTGTTGTTGGGTGCGTGTACAAGGATCTTCATCAGTTACTACAGTTGAAACAGCCCACAAAGAAAAGAACAGGCATTACAAGGTTATGTAACTTCTCGTTTGCTGTTGTTATCACGCATCAATATACGAAAAAATTTTCACGCTCAATAAAGTCGATGTCACAAAACCTTTACGAGATCCTCGACAAGTCATTCGTTGACTTATTTAGTGTTTCAGAAATGAAGTCAACTGAAGTGCACCATTTGTTTTGTCAAAGTTGCTAAATTATCTCAATCTGCTTCACTTTCGAGTACAATTTTCTTCACAGGCATATAGGATCCAGGATAATGGTCATCGCTATGGATCCAAAACCAGAAAAATTGCGACAAAATGTAATCTTGAAGTTCAGAAACCTAGAGGTAACAGCAAAAGTAAATTGCTATCACCTGATCTTCTTTGAGTTGAATTTTTTCATAAGGATGAAATAATTTTTCAGGAAGAAGGAAGGAAGAGATGCGCGTTTTGGAGTGGCAGAGAAAGGTGAAAAACTAGAATATATTTTTTTTTACTCTGGAATTAAATTTTCCTCGAGCTCAAACTAACTGAAGATGATATTCATGTTATTTTGGTTGGGAAATTACCGAAAGCGAATCATGATACCGTTCATGAAGAGGTCTTGAAGAGGTCTGCTGACCAGTGAGATCTCGCGAACAGAAAAAAACGAAGAAACAATTGTCAGAAACTCCCCAATGGAAAGATATAAAGTACCGTAACTAGAGACAAAGTTTACAAAACGCCAGTGACTCTCAGTTGTCTTTTTTTCTCTTTCTTGAGAAAATTTGATCAGTTTTTATGTGTTTTAGAGTTACCTTTCCTTGTTTTTTTTTGTTTGGCTGATAGATAGATAGTTATGATCTCTTTAATTTTGTGCGTTTGTTTCTTGTTCATGCGTTGCCTATTTTATTTTTTTTTTATTACGTAAGGTAGGGTGTAATTGTCATTTTCGTATTTATTTCAAAACGGTTCCCAGACCCCATCGCAGAGTCTGAGAGTCAACCTATCAAAATTCAAATCTACGCGTAAAAGGAAAAATTAATATTGGTTTTTCACCAAAATCGAACGGAGTGGACAATATTTTGACGGTCTAACTGATCGATGTAAGCCAAAGTATCGTGTGTGAATAAAGCTCTATTATTATTATTATGATTATTATTATGATTATTATTATGACTGTTATTATCATTACTATCATTAGATATTTTAACATATTTTTTTCGACTTTCAAGCATTTTATCATAATTTTTGTTCTAACTTTTTGCGATTATGGTGAAGAAAGAATTATATTAATTAAAGAATATTATTATCATTATATTATTATTATTGTCTTTTTCATGTTGAGAATATGGACGTATTGGGTGGAATATGAAATCATTGAATCAATTGAATTAGTTAAAGAAGTCATTCATCCTCTTCCAGTTCTATGTCAGACGGATTTTCATTAAAAGGATGTGATCTAGTTACATCGGAAAGAAACCCGGAAGAAACTATTTGCAGCTGCAATCATTTGACTCACTTTGCTGTGTTAGTCGACTACAACAGCGACTCAAAGGTAAAAAATTNGACATAAAATGAGTAGCATACGTTGTCAAAAAATGCTTTGTCAGTTTTTGCTCTATCTTGTTTGTTTGTTCGTTTCAATAGAGATGTTCGTCAGCCTCTGTCTCAAATACGACTTAGTCTTTCTGTCTCCCTCGGAGCTGGACAAATGATCTTTCTCGCCGGTATAAATGCCACAGAAAATAAGGTTGGTGGCATTTCCATTTCCACGCTTTAATGTAATCAATACATTTTCAGGGCTTAAAACATTCTGTGGAAAGGAGTATATATTTATAAAAAAAAACAAGAATAACAACATATTTCTCCTCTTACAGGCTGCCTGTGTTACAGCAGCAGTACTCATGCAGTATTTTTTGATGGCCGCTTTCTTTTGGATGCTGGTGGAGGGAGTTTACCTATACCTATTCGTTGTGAAAGTTTACAACATCACTGAAAAGATGCACATGTATCACGTCATGTCATGGGGTATTTTCATTTTACTTGTTGTCGATCATTGCTACCTTGATTATTTTGAGTTCCGTTAACTTCCTCTCATCGTTATTTAGGTTTGCCCATCATCGTGATCGCCATTTCATTTTGTATTGCTGCTGGAAAAGGTGGACTTCATAGTTACACCAGCGATAAATAGTAAGAAAATCACTATGTGCTAGTTTTTTCTCTTTCTCCGTCTTTCCTTTTTCCCTTTTTTAAGTTAAATCGATTTTTTGTTGTGTTTTGATTTATATTTCGCTTTGTAGGTGTTTTGACACCGTGACTGGGTTAAGCATTTTCTTTAAATTTTATTTCTATTTTCTCTTATTCTTTCTCGTTTCAAGTTGCTGGCTCTCCTCCACTAACAATCTCGTCTGGATATTCATTTCATTCGTGGTGTTCATTGAAGCTGTAAGGCGTCGATTGATAGATTCCTAATTATTATCTCTTATATATCGGGACTGACTGCTGTTGGAGGCTGCTCTTTCCTTTTTTTCTTAGGAAACGAAGAATGCCTTCCTGTGCTCGACTACTATACTCAAAGTTTGCAATCTTCCTAATTCTTTTCATTTACACGATGTTTTCAGTATTTTGATGTTTGCAGTATGATAGAACACTTGTCATTTCTGAACCAAGAAATTGCCTAGCTTACAACTAGAATTGCTTTATCTCTCTTGAAGCAAGTAACTGGAAACTGGAGTTGCAATTGCCTGTGGGGATTCATATTTTTCTTTTTCACTTATAACTAAGATAGATAACATATTCTTTACTTTACGACATCTGACATGTACTTCTTGCTTGTTTCAGCTCAACATTTTGATACTCGTCCGAGTCATAAGGGAGATGACCACACTTGTACAATCTACGAGGGAATACAACCATATTCAGCAGATAAGGTTGGATAAAAACTTTAACGTTTTACCAAACAATTGTAATGAATGGAGTTGGGGTAAAACAAGATGAGGAATACACAGTTTCTTAAGGGACTACTCAAGGGATGTAAAAGAATGACAGTTCTGAGGTATCTGCTTAGGTTCCTCTCTAATTAATAATAAATAATGAGGCGTACGACTGCATCGAAAACGTTAACTAATCATGTGAAGCAAATGAACGTCCATTCCACATTTTATACATTGTTGTTGTTGTTCTTCAGACTTGGCATAAGAACACGCGTGGTGATGATTCCACTGTTGGGCTTTACGTGGCTATTTGGTCTTTTGTTACCAATGCACAAAGCTTTTGCTTACATTTTCACCATCTTTAACTCTACACAGGTGAGCTTTTGAGTAAAACTGTGGAACATCAGTTTTCTGTACTCCTTTTTGATTGCTCAGACTACTTATTCTCTAAGACCACGCCCTTTCTCAACCATCAGATAATATTTCTCTTTTCCATCAGATGAAACTTGCTGTATTTAATTTTTATACCCGTTTTTAGTGACCTTTTATAAGGAAACTAAACGCAATAATAAATTCCCTGCATCAAATATCTCATACTGCTTACCAGGATCTAAATATTAAGTCTGATCTTGAAATAATTTTGTGTTTTAGGGTTTCCTAATATTCGCCTTTCATTGTGTGCGAAACAGCCAGGTAAGGACATAAAAAAAAGGAGTATGTACATGGAAGTAGTTATAGTTTTTGACATTTATAAGGATTTGAGTGCTCAGCAACTGATACATTGTTGCCCGTTCATGAAAACCCACAGATTAGAGAGCGATTTAAAAGGAAGATGAACACCATTTTTCCATCCACTGCAGATCGAGGAAACTCCAGAAAGAGATCCACACAAATTAATCCAAGTGGTGCCAGCGATGTGTGGGCAGTTGAATTGCAATCGTTCAATGAGTAGCTGTATATTTGAGAAAAAAAGTCTCAATTGATGAGTGGTAATGCGAAGTCACTTAGTATAACGGAGTTGATGAAAGTAGATCGATGTTCAGTCTCGTTGTGTCAGTTAGCCGGGTCGTTCTGATTATTGCGATATTTCTGAAATGAGATGACTATAATGTTAGCCCTTTACCATTGAGCGCACGTTAAAGCAGTGAAGAAACTAGTCTGGCTAGAAATAAAACTTTGGATGGGCCGTTTTGAATCCTAAATATTTTAGATGTAAACAAATGCATTTTCTGTGCCTTTACTTGTATCAGATCCAGTTTATCGTTATGAATGTTAAACACTCTACCATCCCGTTCAGTTAGAAAATCATTTATAAAATCCATTAAATTAACAGAAACATCCGTATCGATACCATTTAGAAAAATATGTAAACATTGACAAACAAAATAGATTTCCACATGTATTAAGTCCCCTCTTGTGTGGCTTCTCAGATACATAAATCTTCAGGAATAGCAAATGACGCGAGCTTTAGCTCGTTTTGTCCACAAGGGGTCAAGGGTTGAGCAAATTTTCGTCGATATAAAAACCAAGGGTGGGAGGGAAACAGCGCGGCAAATGAGTCAGTATTTGAGGATCTTTAAAATAAAACTCGGGTCGTTCTTTAGAAGGTTCTCCTTTATTTTAGTTTATACATATTTTGCCAGAAATAAAAGAATCCAGTATTGA